ATAACAATTTCGAATTTAAAACTGGTCGAACATTTGCTTAAAAAATCGAAATATATAAAAATATTTATAACAATGTCTGAAATGTTATCAATTTAATACACCTAATTACTCATTGAAGACTAAACGTTGTTGAAAACAATAAATTGCATTTAAAATAGTACAGTAAAAGCCGTTTTTCCGGTTAATCCTTAATCTTTTCCCTCTCCTCCCGCTGGGACATTTCGAAAAAATCCCTTCTTAGTGCGCGTTTTCATGACGTACCCTAACTGTGTACCAAATTTCACTTCTTTAGGTTCAGCGATGGTGCGATGATGAATCAGTGGCTCAGTCAGTCAGTCAGTCAGGACAAGTAATTTTATATATTTAGATTAGAGAATAAGAACTAAAACATAATAAAATTCCACATAATAATAATAATAATGATTCGTAATAATAAGTATTTTGTATAGGAGTGTTCAATGATTCATATGTTTGGAGAGTTGCTGGATATTCGGTAAAGAAATATTGTTGTTGTATAGAAATATCATAATAACAATAAAATGGCTTATAAATAATCTTTTACTATTGTTTGTCAGGATGCAGTATTTATGAAATATGATCAAACTAAAACACAAATAACAGGTGGAAAGTTATTTCCACTGTTTAAAGTTATCCAAGAAAAACTAAAATTTAGGTAAGTGGCTTCTTCATTTCAATTTCAAACTTACTCTTTTGCATTTAATCATAGAACTTTAACAGTATAGAAAATCGGATTTTTATACTTTCTACTGTTATTGTTAATCATTGAAAATATTATTTTGATGCGGTTCTAAAATAATTTAAAATATGAAAAAAATTGTTGAATAATTTATATAAATTGTTAATTGTAATAATGCATATTTTCATTATACATGTTATTAATGGTTCTGATTTTTTTTAAACATGAAAAATAACAACTACTTAATGATAATACTTTAACACTTAAGCGCATAAGGTTTGTAATCAAAAGAAATTATTTAGAGCATTCAAATGTAAACCTTACTTAATATAAAATAATGGAAAATTTATAAATGCAATAAAAGGAACATTTGCAGTTCCAATCTATGCATATCCCACATCCGAGGAAATAGTGAGGGTGAACATGAGGAACGCTATTTGATCAAGAAACCTTAGGCAAAATAAATTAAAAATTAATCAATGTAATCGACTAAATGTATAACTTGAACTATACTTAAGTAAACGTTTCCAAACTATAAGAAATTTGCAAGAACAACCAAATCACACATGTATGTACAAAGAAGTCCTGAATATACTAACCATAAAAGTTAACACAAGAGGAACGAAATACGAATGCAAGACATGAAATTTTGAAAATAAAGCGTTTTACATGTGTAATGGTCTATTCGGATGAGAACGAAAACACATTGATATTAGACGACTGCAAAACAGTGTACACATCGACAAAACAACAAACACGCGAAGGAAATTTTCTTGGATCAGTACTAAAAAGAAATAAATATCAGTGTAGAAATATGAAAGCATACAACAGTTAAAGTTAATTTATTAATGTGATCAATCTATGTTTTTTACTATAAATAATAACAAAAATAAAAAACAAAATAGATTCAGAAATATTAGTAATATAATAAAAGGAATCTCAGAAATATTTTCCATAGATACGGGAAAGACTTGTATAGGATGTAATATAGACTTGCATAATTTGAAGCATCCCTTGCGCAGAAAGTACTTAGAAAAATACACGAAGCAGAATGTTTTTGTTAAATCAACACTGTCCGAGAATTATCTTTTGTGTGTGCATCAGAAAAGGCTTAAATAAATCTGCAAAAAAATTAGTGACATTGCTATATGGTTTGCTGTAGAAAAAACTATAGATACTTGCAAGATGATATGTTGCTTTAACGATAGTACGAAAAAATGACAGAAAAGACTGCGTTAAAATTTATGAAGACGAATGCAGAGGCGACAGTTAGAATTATTCAGGAATGTGTAATGCTGTTGTATAATTAACATTATATCGTACTCACAGAAGACTGTGCCGTCTGTAAGATTGACGAGAACTTTTAAACAATCTTATTCACGTAACCTGCCTGAATCACGTTTCTCATCTGGCCAAAGAAGTTCGTTTGCATTTTCAAAATGTAAAATTTCTCATTTGTTTCGAAAAGAAACTACTTGAAAAGACACAATGCAACAAATTCTCATTTTGTCTTTTAAAATATTTGCATTGTGAGCGTTTGCCAAAGAAGTATTCTTTTGCTACCCCTTCCATAGTCATTATATGGGACACGTAAATATAAGAGGCAGTATTCAATGCTGACTATTTACTTGACTTTAAAAATTTTATCAATGAACTGGATGAATCAGAATGCTCTCATTGTGGATGTTAAAGAAGCATTGAACAATCCACATTTAATCGCTTGTCTCGTTTACCTCAGCGCCAATTTGTTAAATTTGTTAAAAAGAAGCAATAACTCATTAAATTACTTTTCTGTTCTCAGCAAAGAAATGCAGTATTGTAATGTTACTATATTTTTAACATGTTTCTAATATGTAACCTCATGAAAACTTGTTACATTAGTGAAAATATATTTCAAATTTTCCAATATTTTTCTTTCTTCAATTTATAAAAAATCTTAATTATACACCTAGGCAGATCTATTTGTTTGTATTAAAAATGAAATCATTGCTAAATATCATATAAAATGTGAAGGAAATTGAACTAATAACACAATACAAGCATAAAAAAACAGTTAAAATAATTTATCTTCTGTGTAATCTTATGATGTGAATTCACAATTAGTATGGACTGCAATTATTGTATTACATG